TGAGTGTTTCCTGAAATATAAGTGAGAGCGTATTAACTAATTCTATGTCTATGTTATCAGTGATGGATGAGGAAGCACCTGTAGTATCATTAGTGGTAGTTGTTGTATGTGTACTATTATCAGTGCTTGTTGCTGGATTATCCTGACAGGTTACGTGATCTTCATTAATGTTAAATGTTTCTGTCTGTTGATGTATTTGATCAGCAACCTGTTGTTTGATAAGTTCAAGTGTTGGTTGTGGGATAAGGTTGTTGTGTATAATTGTTCTCTTTTGATCGACAACCCTTTGTTCGGTGACAGTGAAGTGAGGATATTGTTGTGTGAATCTATGGTGTAGTTGTTGTCTGTATGCTGTCATGTTTGTTTCGAGTTTTGTGATTGCATAGTAAGTAGGGATGATAAATTCATTCATTTCTGATGTCCATTTCATCTGTTGGTGTGGTTTTCCAGCCTTTGTGGTCTGTGGATGCATTGCCACAGAAACACCAAGGCTAGGTTGGTTCCTCTCAACTGTTGAGGGCATTGCAGTAGCCATGATTGGGCTGGCGCTGCTTTCACCACTGGTAACCAAGGGAGACTGTGGCCTATTTTTCAAATGTGAGCCTCTGCCTAAGCCACGAACATCGCCCAGGATCTTGTTAACCCGGGCGATGTCTGAGCCGGTATCACGCTTTGTTATTATTATTACTATCATCATCCCGTCTCGATTATATATATAGATGAACTGACAAATAATACTTGAATAGAATACAATGTATTCAAAGGAAATATGAATATTTGTTGCCATAGCAAAATAATGCTAAAATTTTCTTTTTTACAATTAAATAGTCTATTGATATTTTTGTTTTATTTAATTAAAGTAAAATTCAATGTTGTTTGTGCATAATTTTTTTGTTTACCTGTTCTGCATTAATAATAAAATTTAAAGTTTACTACTAAAAACTACTGTAAAAATATTAAGTCTTTTGCATTATCTATACTATTATTATAAAGAGATAATGTTTGGATGTAGCGGGTAATCTCCGAAACTACTCATTCGATTTCAAAAATTCTTTCACCAATATTTAGAATGGAACTTCAGGGTGGACATAGGCTATCTATTATTCCGTTAAACATTCATATAAATTAAAAGCCTTAACCTAGATTATATCTTTTATGTCCAACAGATGGCGATACGAGTACGACGCCCTAAGTTTGCTTTTCTGCGAGGCCTTACACTTTTCTGTGAAAATGAACTAAAGCAGATCATCTTCTATCTATCTATATAAATAAAAATGTAATGTTCGTTTGTTCCTACCGATTCCTTTGAAATTTTCACACAACGCTGCATTCGAATATGCACGTGTTTTTATATAATATACGTGTCGAAATTCCCCCCACTGAAGGGAGATGGTTAGGATTAAGGCTTACGGCTTACCATAAAGAACTCTGCTTCTATTTATACTATTTTAGATGTGGTTTTTTGCATTTTAATAGGATACATTAACAGAATGTACACTAAAATGGGATTTTTCTATATTCCCCCATGGGGAGAAAGACAGGATTAAGGCTTACCGTGAAGAACTTGGCTTCTATTATACTATTTTAGATGCAGGTTTTTGATTGCGTTTTAATAGGGTACATCAAGAGAATATACACTAAGAAGAAATGTTTCGAAAAATTTTCCCCCATGGGGAAGTGTTATACATTTATAATAGATACATTTTGAGCCACAACGATGCGTGGTGGGGTCTGCTAGTATTTGATATATTTGTGAGAAAAATATTAAATCATTACACTTTAAATCCATGCCAGAAAAATGTATCAAATGCACAATTCAGCTAAATTATTTTTACTAGTACAGTAGAGCCTTGAAAACTCGGCACTCCGGATAACTCGGCCACACCCTGGCAGGGCAAAAATACCCTTAGATGATACCCTTAGACTGGGCGTTAAGGGGTTAATTTTCATCATAGACAGCTTTATGCCTCAAAGTATTTTTCTGAGGTCTGTCTTATCAAGTAAATTACTGTACACAGTGTATTCATTAATTTTCATTTTCATGTAGTAAAGGCTCTATGCTCTCATAAAGGATGTACTTTTCCTTTGTTTAAGGGTATTTGGGCAGTTTATTCTCTGTTGTATTCTCAAGCAAACAATACATACAAGTACAGTACAATATTTTCTGAGGATACACGTATACTTATCCTTTTTTAACCCTATTCCCGATAACCCGGCATTTTCACAAACTTGGCCACCCTTCGGTCCACATTAGGCCAAGTTTTCAAGGCTCTACTGTATTCTGAAAATGGATGTATGAACACATAAGCATTTTAAACACATCTGATCCTTACATTTTTTCTCTCCAGAAAAAACAATTTATAAATGATATTGGCAATCCAGATAGTATTAGTGTTAATTTTATTGTAAATTACAGTACTATTAAACTAAATTTTTGCAAAGTCAATACCATCATCATAATTTTATTTTTAAATACAATATAGTCATATTAAAACAATTATACATTTGTTTATTTTATCATCAGATAGAAAAATAAAACGAATGTAATTTTTTCATATCTGGATTGCCAATATCATTTATAAATTTCCATATATAGTTTGTTCATGGACACAGAGTATCCATTCGTTACAAACTTTTTGAACTGCATCATGAACCATCCGTTGATGTCTACGCTACATTTTGCTTTCCTCTGCTCATTTGCAGGAAATCTAAACAACCGAATGTCTGTAGATTTACAATTTGGTGCCACACAATAACCCATTGAGTAAAGTTGTTTAAAGTATATACGTAATAATAGTCAGTTTACGCAGGAACTACGTGTGGAGTGTAGTCTATCGATGAGTCCCAAAATGGCCACTGTTGCATAGAATCATGGGAACATGTCCTGACCTTCTTACATAGACCTTGCACATCTCTATGACACCATGTGTGAAAGATTTGGTGGCTAAATTTGATTCTAATTGGCTAACATCATCCTACATTTTGAATAAAACTTTATTTGCATAAGCAATTCTTATAATTAACAATTAAACAAGCTAACAAAATTTTAGCACAACAGATAATTTCTGTTAGTACACAATATTTTGACGACAAAACAAATTTTTAAAAATATCCAAAATCAATAAGCAATTAATTTACATTGTGATATTGATATGTTTATGTCCAATAATTAAGACTTCAGTAATATGCACGTACATTTTTCACTCAAAGAGATCATTGGTAATAAGCTGCAATAATAATAGTAACTTATGATTATAGAGATTATCCATACATTTTTGACTGAATTTCATTTTATTTATTTATTTAAATAAATAAACTGTATAGTAATTGAGTTTGAGGTATATTGAATCTACTGGATTCTTTAATTTGTATAAATTATTATGACACTTTCTAAAATATAACCTTCAAATTTAACATGTTAAAGAAAATAATTTCTTATAGATTTAACATTTCAACCACATATCTATAAACTATTTCAATAATCTTTATTGGTCAACTTTTAGATATTCCAGATGTATTGAAAATTAAAAGTTAAACAGAATTTATTAATAAAAAAATTTTTTTAAATGATAATGCAAATAATATGCTGTCATAGGTTCTGCCAACTTCTGCCTATCGTGCGGTCACGGCGGACACATGCTGCATATGATGGAATGGTTTTCCAACAGAAGTATTTGTCCTGCCGGTTGTGGATGCAATTGCTTAGAAGAAAATGAAATATTTGGATGAGTATTTTTGACTATTCTGATAATACTCTATAAAGAGGAGTGTTTGTAGTGTTGTTTATATATATAATTTTCCAGTTTTATGGAAAGTGAGTATTTAATGTCATCTCATAATCATCTGTAAACCAATCTCATGTCATACTTTTGTGAAATTTAATATTTTAAATTATGCAAATTTAGAAATAATAATTGACAAAACATATATAGGATCATCTAAAGTTGTTTGATTGAATCAAAATGTATCCATACAATCATAAGTTATTAAGTTTATATTTATTAGTAAATGTAATTTGAATTATAACATTCCTAGCAAAAGTGCTGGAGCAAATTTTAAAATGCTGTTGAAAGTATTTTTATTGTTATTTTTTAACCATATCTTCAGACTTTCATATGAATATGTGAAACTAAATAACTATTGAAAAAGCTCTATCACAATTTAAACTTAATAAAATAATTGCTAAAATTAATATTTAAAAGAAACTCTTTTTGTAATTATAATGCCAACAAACTACAGATTATGAATCATCATCAAAATATTAGTTTTTGCATTTATATGCTGGCATATGTGATAATTACTGAGCTGAAAATCTTGAGTTAAAGTTATAGTAGATATAACAGTCTACTATATGTTTGGGATCACTGATTGGTTACCATATTGACATTTCAGTTCTAGTCTATGGCAAAAACTTATGTATGTAGACTTATAATCATCACTCCCATCTCATCAAGATATTGAAAGTTATTGTGTGACTAAGTGATGATTATAAAAATAAATACTTTGTATGTTGTATCTCTTAAACTGATGCTAAGTTACCAGAAGCCTACAGTGATTTCATCCCAAGATACTCAGTTACATTATGGTCTAGGGCAGTGTTTTTCAACCAGGGTGCCACGATTGGGGTGTCGCAAAGTTTAGAGCATTTAGGCATTTTATTGGAAATTCACTTAAGTGTGGTTCAAGATAACTCATTGTCAGTTCTATTTTGCTACGAGATATCTAGTAAGCAAAGAAACTATGACTAATCGCATGTTAATGTAATGTTCTACGCTACGTGTACGCACGACTTCACCCAAACCACATTGCTTGGCCTTCATGTTCCCAGTCCCAGTACCAGGTCAACCACCAGAGAAGAACGACGTGGACACTTGTGTCTTGCATTGTACTTTGAAAAGCGTGTGATTTCAATCACAAAGTAGGTGCATATTACAGTATTTTCATAGTACAGTAGGTGATCGGTTAACGAACATAATCCGTTCCGAGACTTTGTTCGCTATCCGAATTGTTCGTTAACCGATTATCGATTTACTATAGGTTTGTATGGGAATTTAATTAATTTGTTCTGGAGATCCCAAAAATAAAAAAAATATATATACTTTCTTACTATGTTTATTTATATGTAATAATAAAAATACATACATGCACAGTCTTGCGTCTTTATTAGTCATGTTTTTCCATTTGAAAGGGTTAAAGAATCTGTCTAATGTCGATTGCTTTTCCCTCTTCTTCAGGATTTTTCGTAAGTAATTAATAGCATTGCAATTGTAGAAATCCCCAAGCCTCAACCTGGTTTGGATGCCATTCTAAGACCATTGTTCCGACTTCATCTCACTTCTTCAAAAGATCTTTAATAACAAATATCGGCATTAATCCTCTTTTTCAGAAGAAAACATATCTCGCCGAGTTTCTTGGTGTTCTTCTGTCGTTAGATCCGTTTCGAGTTCCATTATGAACTCTTCGATGTTCTTTATTTCTCAGATGTGATTTTTGTTACTCCTTTAGCTGCTTGAGTCTTCTTGATTATACAGTATTTTTCTTAAATAAGATTGAACTGCGGCCTACTGTAGACCCATACTGCCCAGCAACATTAGGCATCTTCTGCCCACTCTCTACCTTTGCTATTATATTCTCATCTTTCGAAAAGAAAAACAGACGCAAAACTTAATGAGTGCCTACTTGACAGTTTCGCGAATACATAAAAGAATTGTTTTGTCAGAAAAATAAAAGGCTGGAATTAAAAGGAAGAGTTTCAAAGTTCGGAGGAATACTATCCGATCGGTATGTACCGGCCTGAGCATCAATGTCGACGTCTCCCGCACTCCGAAAAGTTTCAAATTGTTGCCCGAAGACGAGGGAAGACCAATCGGTATTCATTATTTTACGTCGCTGCTTCTTGTGTTTGTTCTGTGGGGTGTTTGTTATCCGATCTGTTCGTTAACCGATCACACACTGTATTCAAAAGCAATGACNCTCGCAGTGACTGTATTTGTTTGTAGTGAAGGTTAACTATGTCAATCAGGCCACGTCCGCCTTCTTTACGTGGAAGGGTTAATCTTTCTGTGGCAGATTTAGGATCATGTTGTTTATGCTTAGTGTTTTTATTTTCCTTTGGAGTTGCTCAAGATCTGTGTGAGTCCAATGTATAACTCCAAAAGAGTATGTGAATACAGGAATGACATATGTGTTTATTGCTTTAACTAAGTGTTTTGCATTTAATTAACTGTGTTCTGAGGATACCATTCAACCTACTTTGGTATTCTTTAATTAATCTTTGCTTTATTTGTGTATGTTCTGTTAGTTTGGCCTGCTGGAATCCTAAATACTTGTAGAATTCACCCTCTTCCATGGATTCAATAACGTCTCCATTTCCAAGTGCAAAATCTTCTTTCTTCAGGATTCCTTTTTCTATG